ACTCATGACGTATGCTGACGCAAGCACTGAGAAGAGGAAGGAAGGAGAGGACGCTGGCGTGGGTCCTGTCACCGTTGACCAAATGCGTCATGTCACGAAAAAGGCGCTCGGGGAGCTTACTAGAAATGACCGGACTCGACGTGGGCGCGAGTCAGGTCTGTGCAGTGGCGCGTCCGGTCAGCGGCTCGAGGGCGCGGGTGCGCGCGTGATCGGACGCTAGCTTGGCATGTCAGGTTGGCGTTGGCGCGTCCGGTCTTCACTTGACACATGGCACGGCCGTTGGTGACTGTTGGGATCGATCAACTATGCTTGAATGAAGGCGGCACGTGGCCGCCATCTAGTGACCGCGCATTGGTTCGGGTGCATCTGGTCGCTTCGACCAGCGCGTCCGGTCAGTGCGCAGTGGGCTCTGTGTTGAGCCCAATGAGCCCAACGGCTTTATTTCGTGAGGGCTTCTATTTAAGCCCCATGGCCGGCTCTAGCTCACTCTCTTGGTCATTTTCATTAACATAGCAACCTAGTGAGCTAAGCCAAAGCCCTCTCACTCATCTCCATCATTGATTCTTCGTCTTTGTGAGAGATTGGGAGTAAATCCAAGTGCATTGCTTGAGTGATTGCATCTAGAGGCACTTGGTGATTGTGTTTCACTGTGGATTTCGCTTGTTACTCTTGATGGTTGCCGCCACCTAGATGGTTTGGTGCAGCGGGTATCGTCGAGCGGAGGAAGGTGCTTGTCTCTAGCTCTGATCATGGTGATTGTGAGGGGTTCTTGACCTTTTCCCGACGGAGAGCCAAAAGGTACTCTAGTGGATTGCTTGTAGCTTGTGGATCCCCATTTTGTGTTGGTTGTGCGGCACCCAATTGCAGGTTAGGCGTGTGATGCCTATTAGTGCATGAACCTCCAAGTGGGTGAATCGCTACAACGAGGATGTAGCTTGCCGGCAAGCAAGTGAACCTCGAGGATAAATCATTGTGTCATCATTGTCTCCGAGTTTCTATTGTGATTGATTGATCATCTGTTGCCATAGCGGTATAAATATCACTACCTCTCTTGCATTTACTTTCCTAGTGTAGCTAAGCTCTTTAGTGTAATTAGTCTTGAGAGCTAGCTTGTGTCTTGTTAGTTTGGTTAGTGAGGCTCTTTAGGTAGTCCTTGAGAGCTCACTAACTTAGAGAGCAGTGACTTAGCCTCTTGAGTGACATAGAGATCATAGATAACTAGAATTGTGGATAGGAGGCTTGCATTTTTAGTAGGCTAGTGCAACACTCACTTCGTCGTTTAATTGTCTAATCATTTGGCTTAAGTGTTGTTGTAGAAATTTTTAATAGACTATTCACCTCCCCTCTAGCAATTAGGACTTTTTAGCGTGGTGGCCTCCCACTTGCTTGCCCATATTGCCGGTGACCGCCCGTGGCTCCGTGGCCAACTCGCGGAGAAGATGCACGGATAGAGGAGGAGATTTCACCGCTGATATCGCGAGCTCCACCATGCGTCCCTCTGCCGAGCTCCTAGATATGGAGGAGGATCAGATGCGGAGGAGCACGACGCCCTTGCCAGCGAGCTCTAGGAGGAATCCCTCCCGACCTTCGTGCCCACCCAGCACGGGGTGGTCTCTAGACGCGGCAGTGAGAATGGAGGGGGAGAGGAGATCTCATCGGGGGGAGCAGAGCTCGACGCCATCGGTGAGGGGGGAGAGAGTTCGCCGTTGGGTGCGATGGCGATGAGGAGAACCTATACGGTCGCTTAGCCAAACCTGGCTCCCAAAGAATGACTGGCCCCTGTGTTTTTTTATAGCCTAGCTAAGGGGGTGATCGGTGGCACTATGGAGCCTAGCTTCAGCCTTCAAACAAGCAACCAAACAGCCTGAAGCTAGCTTCCTAGAGCCTGGTTGGGGGTTAGCCACCAAACCAAACAAGACCATATACTTCCTCGTCTGATATCCAAACATGCAGGGCTGGCGTGTGGCCCCACGGCTCCGCTCTCGCGCAAGCTCTAGATGGGTCCGCCACCACCGATCCGAACTAAGCGGTGATCGTTGTGGTCGTTATAAGGTGGCGTGGTGGTGCACTCACCCTGCCATGCATGGTGGCGCGTGGCCCTACCCGATCTGGCAGTGCGCTTGCCCCTGCCAGGCGCGGTGGCGCGCGGCCCTCCGACTTGGCGATGCGCTTTTCCCTGCCCGGCGCGTGCTCCCGGCCTCATCGGAGTGGTGGTGCGATCGTCGGCTCACTCCGGCCGGTCCCAACGTTGTGCCTGTGTGCCCCTGTCTGTAGCTCCACGCTTGAGGATCGACCCAGCGGTGCTTCCAGAGACGAAAGAGGAGTCGTGCCTAGATCTAGAGGTTGTGACCAATGGCGGCGCTTGAACGGGTCATCCCCCCTCTAGCCCTAGCGTGGTCGTCGGAGCTCACATCTGGAGGTAGGGCAGCAGCGGGCCCCTATGGTGCCAGCAATGGAGGTGGTCGGCAGGGCGACGGGTAGTGGCAAGGCGTCACGGCGTCGTCCCTTTGGGCGGCGGCGGGTGTGGCGGAGGATGGTGGTGACCTAAGCGTCAACGGTCAGTCCTCGGCAGGGAGAAGCCAGATCCAGCGGAGGTGGGTCCGTAGGCAGTTGTGTCCTAGGGGCGGCGCCATGATAGTAGCTTGAGCACTGGTGCAAGGATCTCGGCGAGGAAGAGGCGGATCCCATTGGCAGTGGTAGCTTGGGAGTCCAGGCGGAAGAGGATATCCTTGGCGGCAGCGATAGAGGACTTCGGCAGAGGCGACGATCATGATCCCAATGATGGTGTTGCCCTATGGGCGACGGAGGCCTAGGAATCTGGCGAAGTAGAAGCTAGTGTCTGATTGGCTAGTTGTGACTGGACGGCGACCGATGAAGGTGGGCTAACCAGCGACACGTGGCGTCAGCTCACTCGAAGCGGATGAAGATGGTACCAACGGAGGTTCGCAGCGATGGCGCACTAGGGGCGACGGCGACTTGACGACTTTCACTCACCGAATCTCGACGTTTCATGAGAGGAGGTCGAGAAGCAGGGATGTGCCAAGGTCATCGTTTTTTTTCCTTTTTTGGTTGTGTATGAAACTCTTTGTTGTGATATTGGTCTTAGGATTCTTGTGTCCTTTTGACTGTGTATATTCTCTTTGGATATAGAGGTCAGGTTAATAAAAATTCATTATCTAAAAGATATACTCCCTCATCCAAAATAAATGACATTTTAGTTATGAATCAGAACAATAGCCACACTATCATCTATTGTGAGGCGAATCAAGTAATCCTAAGCAAATACTCCCTCCGTTCAAAATTATAAGTCGCTTTGACTTTTTTGGTTCCATTTTACTATATATGTAGACATATTATTATATCTACTAGATGCATAATAAAATGGATGTATCAAAAAAGTCAAAACGACTTATAATTTGGAACGAATTGAGTACTTCCTCTATTTTAATTTGTTATATATAGATAGTTTTGGCATTGGTAAATATACAACTTTTATTGTATATCTAGACATATCGTATATTAAGTTGCATAACAACTTTTATTATATATCTAAACATATACCCAGAATAAAAAAACGCCGGATGATCTAGGACAGAATGTGGTACTATATCTAAAGAAAAGACGAATAAACAACCCACCTTATTTCGGGTGTTAGCTGGATGCAGGAATGCAGGGTGCATCACCGGGCTAAAGATACGTCGCTGGGGTAGGAAAATTGTTTTATTTTTTTATAAAAAGAAATAAAAAACACGTGCTTGTCGTCCACTCGGAGCGAAGGTCGATGCCGCTCGCCGTGCACACGGAGGACGATGGGGCGCACGCGGAGGCCGTCATCCGTAACGGTGCGGCTCCAGCTCCCTCTCTTCTTCTCACCCTGCGTTCCTACCTCCACACCACAGCTTCTTGGTCCGGCAGATCCCTGTCTCTGCGCCCCTTCGCTATGGCGAGGAGGGGAGGACTGAGGACGACGCGGCAGCGGCCAGGGCTCCTGCACCTCATCGCTATCAGCGAGGAGACGGAGGACGGCGGCAGCAGCCAATGCCCCTTCTCTATCGGCGAGGAGAGGGAGGGTGGCAACGGCGGAGGTGCCCGCTCAAATCCTCTGCCCACAACCTGTTCGACGAAATACATCTATGGGGGGTAAACTTAACCATGTTCAGATGTGGTGATTATATCTTGGACACAGTAACCAACCAAACACAGAATTTCTTCTATGATGCCAGTGAAGGAACTGTCAAAATTGATGGTTTTGACATTAAAGGACTCCCGCTCAAATGGATCAGGAGCAAAATGGGGCTAGTCAGCCAGGATCATGCATTGTTTGGTACTTCAATAAAAGAGAACATCTTGTTTGGCAAACCAGATGGGACCATGGATGAGGTTTATGCAGCAGCTATGACAGCAAATGCTCACAACTTCATAAGGGGGCTTCCAGAGGAATATGAGACTAAGGTACGCGCATCAAAAGTGAAAAGGAACATTCAGCCACCTTAATTCCATGTCTCATACATACTTTATGGTCCATTCTTGCAGATTGGTGAGCGTGGAGCATTGTTATCAGGTGGCCAAAAGCAGCGTATTGCCATTGCAAGGGCGATAATTAAGAACCCTGCTATACTCTTGCTCGATGAAGCCACAAGTGCACTTGATTCAGAATCAGAAAACTTGGTACAGCATGCACTTGATCAAGCATCCACGGGACGAACAACACTGGTAAATTGCCACTGCTTCCACTCTTCATACCTTTTTTGAGGAAACTCACTCTTCATACTTTATAACCCTTATATCAGAACTTCTTGAATTACTTAGAACTTCAGCTTTTTGAAGAGAAAATCATTTGACGTTGAATCCCTGATTATTCATTAACAATGGTCAGGTAGGAGCTCATAAGCTCTCTACTGTGAAGAACGCTGATCAGATCGCAGTAGTTGATGCGGATACAATCGCTGAAATTGGTACACATGATGAACTGCCCGTACTCGAGACTTGTGAAATTGCAGATGGTAAGCTACATTGATCAAGAAAATGAACAATTTAGGGCTTCCTCAGTGTCCAGGACAAGTACCAGCCGTCACAGCATGTCCACAGCAAGTCCAATGCCACTAACACCAGCTATCTTAAAGGAAAATAATTCTGATGTTCCTCCACCTGCACCATCTTTCTCCAGGCTTCTTGCAATGAACGCACCTGAGTGGAGGCAGGCAGTCTTAGGCAGTTTATCTGCATTGGTATATGGTTCATTGCAGCCCATCTATGCCATAACCATCGGAGGAATGATTGCTGTATTCTTTGTTCAGGACCAAAATGAGATGAATGCAAATATCAAACGCTATGCCTTGATCTTCTGCTCACTGTCCTTGGTATCCATTGTTGTGAATCTATTGCAACACTACAATTTTGCATACATGGGGGAGCATCTTGTTCGGCGCATCCGGGTCCAAGTACTTGAGAAGATCTTAACCTTTGAGGCAGCATGGTTTGATGAAGAAACTAATTCAAGCGGTGCGTTGTGCTCTCGGCTAAGCAATGAGGCTTCTCTTGTCAAAACCCTTGTTGCAGATAGAATATCCTTACTGCTTCAAACAGCTTCCGGAATTATAATTGCGGTGACAATGGGCCTGATTGTAGCTTGGAAACTTGCTCTTGTCATGATAGCTGTACAGCCATCTACAATGATATGCTATTATGCAAAAAAGGTGGTTCTCTCAAATGTGTCAAGGGACTTGGCAAAGGCTCAGCATCAAAGCACCCAGATTGCCATAGAAGCTGTTTACAACCACAGGATGGTAACTTCCTTTGGATGCTCATCGAAGGTTCTTCAGCTATTCGAGCATGCACAAGAGGAACCGTTGAAAAAAGCAAGGAAGAAATCATGGGTAGCAGGGATAACCACAGGGTTGTCACCTTGCCTCTCGTTCTTGTCATGGGCACTGGCCTTCTGGTATGGCGGGAAGCTGGCACAGTCTGGGGAGATATCAGCGGGTGATGTTTTCAAAACCTTTTTCGTGCTGGTGAGCACAGGAAAGCTGATTGCTGATGCTGGTAGCATGACATCTGACCTGGCAAAGGGAGCAAATGCAGTTGCTTCAGTATTTGAGGTGCTAGATAGGAAATCCATCTCTCCAAAAAATTCACAGGTAACAAACTCATTCGTAAGCATCATACAGAATACATATCGGCAAAGCAGTTATGCGAGTATAGAATGATTTTACAACGCGGTCTTGCTATGAGCGAGAATAATATACATCTATTTTGCAGGTGGAGAAGGAAGATCAGAAGAAGAAAATAGAAGGTAGAATAGAATTCAAGGAGGTAGGTTTTGCATATCCAACAAGACCAGAATGCCTTATCCTACAGGATTTTAGCTTGGACGTGAAAGAAGGAACGAGTGTTGGCCTGGTTGGGAGAAGCGGTTGTGGTAAATCAACTATCATAGGTTTGATCCAGAGGTTCTACGATGTTGATAGGGGGGCCGTAAGAATTGATGGTATGGATGTGAGGGAGATGAATATTCTCTGGTTCCGAGGATTTACAGCTCTTGTTAGTCAGGAGCCTGCAATGTTTTCAGGCAGTGTCAGGGAACAACATTGCTTTTGGTAAACCAGAAGCTGATGAAGATGAGATTGTGGAAGCTGCAAAAGCTGCAAACGCACATGAGTTCATCTCGTAAATCTTTTTACTTGTTTCTATTCCAAAACTATATAGATATTGCAAGAATGCCTTTTATTTCAACTCGCATTGTATAACACAAGGAACTAATAAGTTGATTATTTTTCAGATCCTTGGAGGATGGATATGATACTTGATTGCGGAGAGCATGGTATACAGCTCTCAGGGGGGCAGAAGCAAAGAATTGCAATTGCAAGGGCAATAATCCAGAATCCAGCAATACTACTACTTGATGAAGCAACAAGTGCGCTTGATGCGCAGTCAGAGCAAGTGGTGCAGGAAGCTCTTGATCGAATAATGTCAGGGAGGACCACAATTGTGGTGGCACATCGACTAAACACAATCAAGAATGTAGACTCGATTGCTTTCCTGGGAGAGGGTACAGTGGTGGAGCGTAGCTCTTACCCGGAGCTCATGAACAAGAAGGGAGCATTCTACAACCTCGCAACTCTTCAGAAGTAACTGACTGTATGTAATGTAAACTATTATATCTAATGAAACTCCCGCAGTAATCGATATTATTGCTAGGTTACTATAGCACAGAAGCAGCACTCCTAAGCTAGTTTTCAAGCAACTCTTTCAATAATCAGTTAATATATAAATATATATATTTGACACAATCCTCGCCTTTCAAAGTTTCTGGTGGGCTAAGATTGGCAAAAAAATATATAAAGAAATGATAATATGGCCTAGTAACTAAAAAAAGTATGATAAGGAAAAGCAAGCATTATGAATCACTTGAATGCAACATAAGTCTGAAGCAGGTAAAATATTTAGAACATACACTTGCAACATATGTGTCAAATATATGCAACATCCAGATAAAAAACAATTGCAACTTGCAACATAAAAACACTTATTGCAACATAAGACTAAAACAAAATCTGAAACGTTTGAACATACTCTTGCAAGATATATGTGAAACATATGTAACATCCAAATATGCATACTTGCAACATATATCCGAAAAAGCGATGAAACATTTAGAACGGACGCTTGCAACATACGTGCACAACCTTGCAACATGTGCAACATCACGATCTATTTTTGCAACATCCATATGAAACATTTGCAACATACCTCAAAACATGTGAAACAATCAAAACATACTCTTGCAACATACGCTTTCAATGCAACATCTTTTTGCTGCTTTCGGCGAAATGGAGGCTCATCGATGTGTGGTGTTCACCGAGGCGCCGCCCGGCGACGCTTGTAGGCAGTGGGCCGCGGCAGTGCTACACGACGCGAAAGGGTGGCATCGGCCGCATGAGCAGTGGGGAGGCTGCGGCTGACTTGGAGAGGGGCAGTAGCGTGTCGCGCCTGGCAGGGCCAGTAGCCGAGCGTCGCGACTCGGAGGCAGCTGCGCACCGTGCCCCGCAAGGCCAGCTACCGAGCGGTGCGCCTCGGAGGTGGCAGGCGAGCGGATAAGAGCGATAGGAAGAGGAACGAGTGGATAGGAATAAATGGATGAACAATTCTTTTTTTAAAACAAGAAGCGTGGATTGTTGGGCTGGCGTTTGACCTAGCAATGGACCGTTTGGACGGACGGACGCCCGTTTCAGAACATTACCGAAAAGAATGTCCATGAAAGGACTTACCGTGAAGTGACCATAGCCAGAAAATAAATAACTGTAAGCAAAGGCTTACACCTTCTTTACTCTTTCTTGAAGTTGATATTTAGTAGATTTCCCTTGGAGAGTTCAATCTCCATACTCATGTTATCCATCTCTACTTTAACCAATGCCCCTACGTCAATTGATCCAGATTCAGTAGAGGTTAGCTGCTCTTTTTTCTTTTTTCTTTTTTATCTCGGCTAGCTGCTCTTTTAACTTATCAGCCATGGTATAGTGTTTTTCTCTCACAACAAATCAACGGCTCATGGCTTTTCTGAGTCAGGCCTGCACCAGGCAGGAGGCACTGTCTCCGCCTCTCCGGTGGCAAGGTAGCTTTCCAGCCGGTACTTGCCTCTCCCCCTGCTGCCGCTTCAAGCTGGAACAGTAATGAAAAAAGCCCATTTTTCTTCCCTCAAATATTATATAAATTCGATATACCTTCCTCAATAGAAATCGATCTTTTAGACTCCTCCAACTATTAAAACTGTCTAATTTATCTTCCTGAGCAGTTTTGAGAGTCGTTTGTGGCGCCAAGTCACGCCAGGAGAGGTAAATTGGACTTTCGTGATAGTTCAGGGAGGTCAATTAGTATATTTGTTTTTAAAAAATTATCTAAATATTTTTCTAGAATAAATATGCATTTAAAAAGACTAAATCTAATTAATTATTATTAAATTTGTTTTAACTCGGAAAAATATGAAACCAGTTTCATGTTTTTCCTAATGTTCTACTTTTTTTTTCTTTCTTATATTGTCTCCTAAAATTTGAAACTAGGGCTAATATGAAACTGGATACATATTTGAAACTAGGATAAATATGAAACTCGGAAATACGAAACATGTTACATATTTTTCTGAGTTAAAAACAAATTTTCTATGATTTTTCTAATATTAAATCAAAATTTAGTATTTTTAAATGCGTATTTATTCTAGGAAAGCATGTGCATTTTTAGGAAAAAATATTTGTAGAAACTGACTAACTTGGCGCCATGTAGGACAACTGATGTGGCGCCACGTAGGACAGCTGACGTGGCGCCACGTCAGCCAAAACCACTCTCAAAACCGCTCATAGAGGTAAATCGAATGGTTTCAATAGTTGAAGAGTAAAAAAAACGAGTTTTCTAATTAAGTGAGGTAAATCGAACTTATAAATAGTCAAGGGAGTTCAAGAGGAATTCCTGATTCTCTTTTCCACCGACCATGACGAGCAAGCTCCGAAGCCTCCAAGGCTGGCTTGGTGTCGTTCCGTAATCCGTAGCACGGCCTGTGCTCTGTCCTCATTGGAGGAAGGGGAGGCCTTAGGGCACGTGCAACCCACAGACGAAGGGTTAAGAGTCTCGAAGTAGACGTATAGACAGCTAAAAAGACAGGTTATAGACAAAAGATCGTCTGCAAGCTGTTTAATGTTATGCATGTAATTAAGATCAATCATGAATACCATTTTGTGTACCACTGTGTTGCTATTCGATAGATAATGGATCATAGCTACACTTAATTCACACTAATAACATTCAAAATTCCTCATAGTGATCTTCTACTTCTCCAGGTAGACATAACTGGAAGAAACAAGATCATATGAGATCTTAGCCAATTAACAACAACCAGCGATCAGGCATCATATATAACATCAAAACAGGAAAGGCGTCACCCACAACTAAATTAAGCTCAGAGATGGAATATTATTGCTTACGCCATTATTAAATACAAGCGCGACAGTTTAAAAAGGCTGACAGAAGAAATTTGATGCTGAAAGAAGAAACACAAGGATGCTGCAAGATGAGCTATCGAGTGAGGCATTGCATCGAACAGCTATCGGGCGTCCCTTTTTTTCCTTAACCAACTCATTAATATTAAACTAGTTTGCCATTGCAACAAAATAGTTGAGGCATTAGCAGGCAAACAACATCATGGAGTAAATACCAGATGTGGATCCAGAAAGCACGAGCGGCAACAAGAAACAGAGAAGGTGACTTGGGCAGCCGGGTCGAGCACTCGAGCTAGCGCATACACCCATCGCCGCTCGTGCCTGGCCATCGCGGCCACGGGACCGTCGGGTGGCGGCGCAGTCTTGTCCCAGCTTGCTCACAACGAGGTGCGACCGCAGGAGACGGGAGTTGCAGCCTCCACCGCCGCCGCCGCGCACCTGGGCTCCAGCGCTACCGCGGCGCACCTAATTTCCAGCGTCGTTGTTGCGCGATGATGGAGAAAAGAGGAACATTGGTGGGTGGGGGATTTTGGGGCGGAAGATTGGATTCTCCCGTGCGCACAGATTGATCCGTCCCTCGTCGCTCGGAGACGACAATGCCGTACAACGCGCCCTCCACCAACGACTGAGCCTGGGAGCATGAGCCGGCGTCGTCGTCTCGCCCTCGCCCGTCTCCACGCTCACGAGGGTGTTTTTCTGTAAAAATTAAATCATAGAGACGGCTAAGTTCAAAAAAAATCATACAAACGGCTCGAATCGTCCCGTTGTGCGTGCCCTTAGTCTAAAAAAATGCCACCACAGTTAAGCTAGTTTAAATTTGATCAAGTTTGTAATAAATAGTATTAGCATTTGCGTCTTTAATAAAATTTATTATAAAAATATATTCTATAACTATTCTAATGAAATTTATTTTTAATCATAAATGTTATTATATTTTTTATATAACTTTAATTAAAATTCAAATGGAAGCAACACAAAGACACACAGGGTCAGGTGGTCTGTGTGTTGTGTGCTCTCGTTGCTGCAGCCTCTGCAGGTCAGCTAGAGCATGGCTAACGGTGTGTCTGCCGGAGATTCCGCTTCAGCCAAAACAGTTTTAGTTACAACTTATCTGATAAAATAAAATTTTAGCTCCAGCTTCTCTTAAAAAACATTCGATAAAACACATTCTTTTAAAAAAGCCTTGCCTCCGGTCGCCGCCCCTCCCCTCCTGATTCGTCGTAGCTCGGCAGCCCGTCTCTAACCCCGCAGCTCCGCCTCTCTCTTCTCCAGACCTGCCTCTGATCCCCCCCCCCGCTGCACCGCAGCCTCCAACGGCCCTACGCCCAGTACAACTGTTGCTCCTGCGCATGATGGAGGAGGGTGGCAACGCCTCGTCTCCAACCTCCTAATCATGAGGGAGGAAGATGGTAGCGCGCGTGGGCGTAGGGGCATGAGCCTGTCGAAGCTTGATTTAAAGTGGCCCGTTTGGTCGCAACGCACGCAAATCAACTTCCACAAGGAGAAGCGCTACCGAACTTGACCTGAGTCACGCTAGTCTTGGTGCAGAGGCTTCGGCTTTGGTTCGAAGAGGGCCCATAGGTTTCCAATTAAATATATAAAAAATAAAATGAAATGAAAACAGAGCACCGCGTCCTCCTCATCCACGTAGGCGGAGGGGAAGGGACAGGCAGCTGCATGCTCGGTTGACCGCTCGCCGGCCCGTGTCCGTATTTGGGGTGGAAGCCTGGGAGGTGGTGTGTTCTGCTTCCCACGACTCCTCCATTCAGACAAGACAGAGACAGGCCTGCCTGCCTCTCCCTCTCCCTCTCCTCTCCTCTCCCCGCGCCCAACAACACGCCGCCCGATCCACGCCGGCCACAATCCGGGCTGCCCAAGGTGTCCTCGTCTCCCCTCCCCTCCCCTCCGTTCCTGGACGCCGCCCTCCCGCCCGCCGCCGGCTGATTTCTTCTCTCCTTCCTCAGGTACGTACGGGAACGGAACACCACCTCCGATCCATCGGTGGTGGTCTGGTGGGTGTTCTCCACTTCTCCTCCGCGGTCCTTGACAGGCAAGCAGACACGTTTCTTCCCGCCTCGTCCGCGACGAGCCGCTTGGCCGCCGCGGCTCTCTCCATGCGCGGCGCCGCCCGGCGTGCTCTGTCAG